AGATGCCAGCCACAGAGACTGGCAAAACGTTAGGAAGAACAACATTCAGAACACGGCCAAAGAGCCCGAAAAACCCACAACAACCATTAGATCCCGGCTGTGAAAGCCTTCGCGAATACATATACCAGATACCTTGCAGTTGTGGCCAGGTATATATTGGAACCACAAAATGAAGCATCCACAACAGAATCAAAGAACATGAGAGACACTGCAGACTAAAACAACCAGAAAAATCGGCGGTAGCTGAATATGCCCTAAAACAAGCTGGATATGAAATTCTATTTCAAAATACTGAAATACTGGACAACACCAGCAATCATTACATTAGACTGCACAGGGAAGCCACTGAAATCCACAAACATCAGCAGAACTTCAACGAAGAGGAAGAAAGTTTGAAACTCAACAAAACTTGGCTCCTAGCACTGAAAAATACAGCATGCAAAAGGTCAGTGAACTCTATCCAGCCACAAAGACCAGTGATCACTACACACAAAAGACCAGCTAATGACATCCATCAGTCACAGTGACAGATAATGTCTCCTCGTTATCACAACAACACACCCACAACAAAAACACACTGATCACCATAATCACCCATTCTCCTGAAAAGAACAAAAGCTTATCTCACAGCCATAAATACTCAACGCCCAAACAAACTGCACCAGAGCACAGAGTGCTGTCCTCTTAAGATGCCAGCCACAGAGACTGGCGAAACATTAGGAAGAACAACCTTCAGAACACGGACAAAGATCCCAAAAAACTCACAACAGCCATTAGATCCCGGCCGTGAAAGCCTTCGTGAATACACTCGGGGCAGTTCACAACTTTAAACTGATGAAAATAAGAACTCACCTTAATCAAGATAGTCACCTCTTGGCTACCATTTTGATGAGATGGGCCTAAATATCTCCATACATCAAGTGCTGAGGTGGGTGCTGTCATAAAAAAACAAAACAAACAACTGAAAATGGAATTTCGAATACACTCGGGGCAGTTCACAACTTTAAACTGATGAAAATAAGAACTCACCTTAATCAAGATAGTCACCTCTTGGCTACCATTTTGATGAGATGGGCCTAAATATCTCCATACATCAAGTGCTGAGGCGGGTGCTGTCATAAAAAACAAAACAAACAACTGAAAATGGAATTTTAAAATGAGTATCATGATAAATAACATGGCTTGTTCTGTTACTTTGTGTTAGAAAAGAACAATAAGAACATTTATTGCAGAATCCCAAGCACCCTTCTTTCTTTCTTTCTTTCTTTCTTTCTTTCTTTCTTTCTCTCTTTCTTTCTTTCTTTCTTTCTTTCTTTCTTTCTTTCTTTCTTTCTTTCTTTCTGGATAAAAGATCATAACTTTCTTTCAAGGGCAGTGCCATTATATTTAACTAGATGGAATGTTTATGCTAAAAACATTTCTGATGCCACCTGGGGTGAATATTTGCCTGAGGATGTATTTGTATTGCCCTCATTTCCTCTTCTTGCCACCAGGCGGTGCCAGCTGATAAATGCATAACTTTTCTCAGAACATTGAACATCTTGACTACTTTTTTTTCATCTGGGAAGCTGTATGTTTCACCTAAGATTGGAGACAGCTTTAAAAAAACATCAGGAATTTATATTAGAATAAAAAGAAATAGAAATAGAAATAGTCCCACTTGATCATTGGGAAGGCAAAATGGACTTAACTGGCAAATCTGAATGCTCTGGCTTGCAGCTGTGAGGAAACCTTGCTGCTGGAAAACATGTTATCTGCTTCTAAATGCAAGCTGAATGTCTTGTCTGATCATGCAGGCTTCATGTCAGCCTTCTCCCTCCTCTTTCTTCCACATCTGTTTTTGTGATGTCTTGCTTGAATGAAGGAGCTGAGATCTCAAAAGTCTCCACATTTTTTGGTACTTTTTAAGTTGACCTAATGAAAGTGTTGTCCTAATATATACTATAGAATAGAATTGTGACAATGATTTTCAGGGTGTGACTATTGCAACCTACGTTACTGATACAGGAAGCAGAAAGCTGAATATTTGATGGATAATCTGTTTCCTTTCAATGGCAAGGTGTGTCAGCTTCCCTTTTATCCCAGACCTGTTGCACATCTTTTAAAGATCTTCAAGTGGCATCTGGAGGCATTACCGGACTTACAAATGAGCAAACAAACACTAAATCAAAGCCCAAACTCCCATCATAGTTGACTTTGGCTTCTAGGTTTGACATTAAATCAGGTGAAGTATGAGCTGATCAGGGTTCCTCCTCACCTTGCTGACCTTTCTTGGTTTTGGTGGCCTTTCCCCTTCTCGGATGGGTGGCAGTGGTTACTTCCAAGCCAAGCCTGGTGCTACTCCATTCTACAGATCCTTCCAGTCTTTCCATGGGAGTCTGCTTGGAACTGACCTAGTTTTGATCACCTCACTTGTTTTCTTCTATGCTATCTTAAGTTCGTTATGTCAAATATATTTGTAAAATTGATTGCCTGTCCACCTTCACAGTACCTCTAGGGACAAGGGGTTGTAGAAAGAAAAAGTGCATCATCCATAACATGACTAGTTTAGTTACAAAAATGGTGGGTACAAAATGGAAACACTAAAACTAATATACTGTACTGTCTGTGGATTGAATTGGATTTTGCCAGATGCTGTGGCTGTATGCTGCCCAAGGTTCAGTCCCACATCCACTTACTTAGGAGTAGGCAGAGCTTGCATTTCCTCCCTTTAAAATAAATACAGCTCCCAGAACACACACACCTCACAACACAAATCACCAGTAGCCATGATAGCTGGGAGGTTCAGAGAGCTATAATTCCCCCAAATAATTTTTTTTTCCCCACCCAGTTCTAAGTAAGCTGCATGCAACTGGTGGGGCTGATTTCTGAGTAGACATGTTAGGATTGTACTGAAATTGAGACACCAATTTGAATGTAAAGCTGAAAACATGATTGGGTTGGGAGTATGGTGAAAGCCCAGTCATCTTGACTCGAAATTTATGAATGAATTTCCAGGTCACACTAAAAGTGAAAGTGAGAGCGCCTGCTTTGCATATATACCATCTTTTGCCTGGGGATTTTCCACAGACATTTGAAACTTGTAATACCCCAGTGTGGCAGACAAGCACAATGTTCACGTAATTATATAAGCAGCACATTTTTTACAACTAGTTGAAGACAACACAGGAAATAAGGCCATGGCTGAAGATATAATCAAGTATCTTAGTTTGTAAGCTGACAAAGGTACAGCTTCCTTTGTACAGAAGCTAAATTTAAGCATGGAACTTTGTGCTGAAAAGGACTAGGAAACGGCCTGATGGGTTTACCGTGGCGTGAATGATTTGAAGCAATGCTTCCACTCTCGGGGTACTCGCAGGTGATGCTTTTTTATCATTCTGCCTTAAACATAGCATTGCTTAGAAAAAGTTGTTTTCTTTTACTATGATTCCTAGAATCACCCAGTGAATTGCACAGTGCTTAGTTAGAAATGAGCTAGAAAAAGGTGGGTGGGTAGGTGGCGTGTGGTGGTGATGGTGAAATTACAGCTCCTGGAAACAGCCAGGAAACATGGCTATTGACCATTCATGTTGGGAGATTCGGGGGATTGGGTGGGGAGTACCATAATTTTTTTCCAAGCTCTGCCCTTTATGAAAGTCCTGATCAATTGATCTAAATCCAATTGCTGGTTCAAACTAGAATAGATCCCCTAAATGTAATCCTGATAATTCAGCATATATAAAAATCCCACTGACTCAGTGGCTCCACTCTAGTTGAGATTAGCAGTTGGCTTTAAGGTCTTCTATGCATAACACTTCAGTGACTAGAATCTTACACTTATGCACACCATTGTAAGTCTATTAGAATACATCCCAGCAGAGGGTTGGTGCTAGTTAAGAAGTTAGTGTAAGCATTTGCCGTTGCAGGCTAGTCATGTGAGAATAGATTCCATGCTGACTTCTTAACTGGCAGAAACTCACTGCTGAAATTTACACTGATTGACTTAATGCTAGTGTGCTTATTCAACTGGATTCCAGCCACTGTCTTCTTTCTTTCCACAGAAATTACTGTTAAAGCAAGGAGAAGACAGCAAAGTTACACAGTGTCTCTTCACTGATAGTTCTAGGAGGAGCTGTCTGCTTGGAAGAGGAGTCAAGCATCAAGAAAGAGGGAGCCATGAAACATACCTGCCTCAGGGGTCACATACACCACAGATTCAGTCCAATTGCTCCAGAAACTTTTGCTGTGAGTTAATTTGCATCTCACTTGAAATTCATACATTGTGTTTGCCTCCAAGTTGTACTCTGTGTAATGCTCTGTTTTTGAACCAGCATTCCATTCTCTGACCTAAAACAGAAAAGCAGCAGAAGCCAATTACCTCCTCTATCCCTGGCCTAGCTCACGAAATAAGTGTAGAAATATACTTAAAATAATGTTTTCTATGAGCCCTCCCAGCTATCCCATTACTTCCACAGGTGATCAACTAACCCTACTACCCTGGAGAGAGTGGGTTTCTCTTTACTTCAGTTGCTGAGAATTTCCTTCAAAGTCCTGCCCTGTCCACCCTGCTAAGTTGAAAGGTGAGAAGCTGAATCCTTCAGGAAATGGAAGGTTAGATCTTATCCCCACAGTAAAGCTACAGGTTAAGCAAGAGGCCTATTTTTAGATCACCTTCAAAAAAATGAATGAGATTCATTTTTTGAATCTCATCAGACTAGCTGGATCTACACTGTTGTTCTTGTCCTTGTTGTCACTAGAGCCTACATATTCATCAGCCAGAGCCAGGTACAAAATACATGCAACTGGCGTTACAGAACAGGACTGTCCTCCGAGAAAATTCTGATCCTACAATTTTGTTTTCCCTATGAGAACGGAGTCATTTTAACAGGCTGTTCACATGAAAGTCTTCTTTTGGTTACCCACACTGTCTTCATCATTTCTCAAACTTACTTTTAGACTGGTATCTTATGGATCTATTGCAAATCACCTGGAGATTGACCTGCAGATCTTGAACTACTTTCTGCCCACTTGTGCTGCGACTGATGCAAGTGGAAATATATTTCTAAGTGTTGAGTCTGACTGAAAATGACTACTACAGTCATATACAAAAGCTGTTGTAAAGTGTGGTACGTAGAACTTAGAACTGCAGAGCTGGAAGGGACCCTATGGATCATTGAGTCCAGCCCCTGTAAGGAGGCAAAGTGGGGAATTGAACTCCCAACCTCTGGCTCTGCAGCCAGAGACCTAAACCACTAAGCTATCCAGCTTAGTGGAGGCCTCTTAATTACGTTTCTAAATGACTTTTGTTTTGGCTATAAAAAATCATAGCTATTGATTTGCTTGCACTCAGAATCCGTGAGACACAGAAAACGTAGTTAACTGGGCGTATGTAGCCCAAGTCCCATATGAGTAGAAAACATTGCACCAAATTAATGGAAGTATAGTAAAATTTGTACTAAATAGATACTCCCATCCTAATGCTGCATATCTTCATGCATGGAAGGTTCTGTACTAATAAATAGCTTGGAAGGTGTGACCTCAACCAAAACTAGCGACTAGTCTATTTCTACAGGTGCACACAAAACACAGATGAACAGGTTGCCTCACCTGCCATGTTTTGCTTGTTGTCTCCTTGTATCTCTCTTCACAATAAGTCTCATTGATTGCCGTTTGCTTTTGCCACTCTATTATTGTCTTAAATACCGGAGAGTATACAGTTGTATTCTGGATCATAAGAGGGGTAGCTGGGATCACTAAAAGAGATACAAGAATGTTCAGTATATGCAGGTAGAACAGCTAGTATTTTGACTTTAACAGTTTGCTCTTTTAGAAGCCAGGCTCTTCCCAACTCTCCTGGCAATCCAGTTTCAAAGCAAAGCCTAGGAAATGGGGCAGAGCACACAACCATGTTGGTCTTAAGGGAGTGTGCAGCCCCTGTGTGATCTCCTCACCCAGCAATCAATCAGATGAGGGATCGGCTGCCTGAGGGCACAGCTTCCAGGCTGGATTAGAAAGGCACAGAGGTCACTCCAATCTAAAAGTGTTTCATTGTGGTTCCAGATTTAGTCTGCCTTGAGGCTTCTCAAATGCCCAGCGCTATAGTCCAGAAAGCTAACTCTTCCAAGTGTTGCTTGCACTTCCATCCTCCTCCCATTATTGTCAATGCTACGGAATTGACTGCATTGGCCAGGATCAAATGGTGTACTGTCAAAAAGCAGTTTCATCAGTGGAGCTGGGCTGGGTGGTTCCTTCTGTAACAATATAGGTAGCATTTTACTGCCTCGAGCTACCACAATTAGCTCCACTCTACCAAGTCAGTGTTATATCATTTTGGCAACTGAAGCAGAAATAATTAACACAGAGATCCTCCCTGCCCTCAGTCATAATCCTGTCAAATGAAAAGGGAGTTATGGTAAACTAGTAATTTCCTACCACCTAAAATATGCTGCCTGAGTCAATCTATCTAATAGGAGGGCTGGCCCTGTAGATGATTGCTGCTTGGGCACCTTTTAATGTAGACAGACCGTCCATCATGCTCCTGAAATCCTCCTGGGGTGATTATTTGTCTTTTGAAAAGGTCACACACATCTTGCATTATTTAACATCCACAATATTCATTTTTCCAAAATGAAGTGCACATGTAGTCACTTGCAGTTTTTTTCTTTGTTATTTTTGGGGATGCGTGTGTGTGTGTGTGTGTGTGCACGTGCATGCATGTGTGTGTGTGCATGCGTGTGTGAAGCTCCTGGACGGTTTGGGCAGGCAACTGTCTCCCAGAGTCACCAAAGTTGTATATATCAGGCAGAAGGTTTAAGCATATCTTACTCCAACCTAGAATCCAGGGCCATATTTGTGTTTCTAAGATACTTCTTTGCGCGATTTAAATCAGTGGTCATGTATTGAGCAGGAACAGTACTATAGCCAGAACTGGGTCAATGAAAAATGAAGAAGTATAAATGTATCCACAGAAATCTAATGTTATTAGAAATATAAAAGAAACAAAACTCTCCAGAACAGACCAGTGAGGACTGAGCATGATCAGTAGCTGACTGAGAATTCTTAAACAGAAATACCCACTAGGTGATGAGAACACTTGTAGAACTCCTATCATGATGTTTTCAGAACATTCAACCCCCTTACACCCAACAAGAGTTCATTTCTATTACTGTACTTTTCTTGTAATATGCAGAAACTAAAACCAGCCATTAAAAAGATAAATCTCGATTTCTCAATATTACCTATATTGTTGAGGTCAATGTGTAGTTCATCCGAATAGACTGTACCCAGTTCATTTTCCGCACAGACCAAAACAGAAAATCTTTGGTTTTTCTGTAGTTGACTCAGAGGGATGATAGCTGAGACATTATTTGCAGAAAACATATTTTTTTCATCTGTCTGTAAGCTGTGAAGATTAAAAGAATCAAACTGTATCTTCTCTTTTTGGTTAACCAAAAAAACGCATTTCTAAAGAACATTTTGACAATTTATTAAACTGGGGTAGCTCTGTTAGTCTGTGCTAGTATAGCAGGCAAAAACAAAACGGAAAAAAGAAGAAGACAAAAACATTGTGGCACCTTAAAGATTAATTGCTATATTTTAATTTGAGCTTTTGTAGACAAGTCCACTTCCTCAGACAACTGCTGCCTGAGACAGCTACTTCATTCTATCTCATGGCAGGGCTGGCCCTGTGAATGACTGCTGTGTCTGATGAAGTACACGTAACCATGAACACTGTTTTTGTCTTCTGTGGTGCAGAGCAGCGCCTTCCATGGATGCCTCATGTTGAATCCAACACAGTATAGTTTGCCCTTCAGGTATTACTGCTTAAGCAGCAGAAGTCCCAGCTATTTTTAAGTGCTAAGGACTAGTCTTCACTTCTTTGGGTCACTGTTGCAGCAAATGTTAGACCAGAAATTAAAATATCTGTGTAGTTTACAAGCATAGGATTCTGAAAATGTATGATACGATGGCACCACTGTGGGACTTTACCCCCACCCAAGCTTCATTGGCCAGGCTACTACTTACAACAAGTGGAAGAAACATCAAATCACAGTAGTGGGGAGGGTGGGACTTCTACCTCTTGAAAAATAGCTTCTGACACTGGGATCTAAGCCTTTCTGGAAACTAGGATTTTCTGAAAGCATTGTATTCTATGGACTGCTCATATCATTGGCTCTACTCAAGGGGCAAGATGATTCTTGGTTGTTGTTTTTTTTAAAAAAATAGGTGTTTCCTGGCAAGATGATTCTTGGTTGTTGTTTTTTTAAATACTTGTTTCCATGTTCTCTTACAGCTTGCAAGATAAGGGCAAAGCAAACTCAATTTCTCTTGCCCATGCAGGTTGGTCCCTAAAAAGGAGGGGCCAAGTACTGATGACTGTGACAAACGAAGGTAGACCGGCTTAGGGTGGCATGACTTTGTGCTGCTGCCTGATGCAAAAATAGCAAATGGAACTCCGTTACCCAAGTCAAGAACACTTAAAGTATGCCATCAGAAGCAGATACCTCACCTTGTCCAATAGTAGGGCCTGGCCTTGGAGAAGAAGCCACAAAGGCATCTTACATCCGAAACCAATATTGTGGCCACAGCATAATGACCAGTGCCCTCTTGGAAGTAAACTGGGCATGGAACTGTCCGTTCCACATGTGTGGTTCCTTTCCTAATGCTGCTTCCACCAAGGGAAATCCACTAACCCCCTGTGCAAGTGTAAGGGTCCATTGTTTGCAACAGGCGATGCCCAGTTAGTGTAACTGCAAGCTGGAGATCTCTGGGATAAAGACAGAGCCTTTGCATCCCCATGTGTAAATAGGATGCTTGTAGTGTGTTGCACTTTGTTTACACAGCCTGGAAAATGACAGATGCTGCACATGTCCCATGCGAACGCCTGAGTGCTTGTTTGATCATCCTGAAGTGTTTACTCAGGGAGGAAGGCCTTTTTTTGTTGCTGCTTTGCTTAAAATGACAGATGCTGCACATGTCCCATGCAAAATCCTGGGGTGCTTCAGTTTGATCATCCTGAAGTGTTTACTCAGGAAGGAAGGCCCTTCTTTGTTGCTGCCTTGCTCTAGAATGAAAACAGGGTGCATTGTTCAGAAAAGGTAAGTAGGACACCATCTTCTTCCTGTAATCAGAACTAGGATGCCGCATACACGAGTATGCTTGGTTTGCGGCTGCTGCCTCTAACCTCAAGTTTAGTACTCACCCTCAAACCACAAGAACAGTTATAGCTTCGTCATATCTTATTCCTTGGTTGAGTTTGCAACTAACCTAGTTTTAGGGGCAGACAAAGTTACAGACAAATGCATATCACATGGTCCCAACAAAGTCATTGGATTTTCTTTTTTTAAAAAATGAAAACTAAGCTCTGGAGGCTACAGTTTTGAGCAGAGGGACACTACATTCCTCAACTGGTATAGTGGAAAGACAGTTAAGCTCAATTTATTTTGGGACAGTGTTGGGACAGTTAAGTACAATTTATTTTGGGGCAACTCCATGACATGTAGGGAATCACAAACCTACCCAGCCCTTTTCCAAACCCATCTGGACTATTTTGGTTCAGTGGCACAGCTACTGTTGATTCTTTTTCCTCTCAAACCCCCCTCCCCCACTTTTGGGATCATTTGAAAGTGCATTGTTTCATTTCAGTTTCTGACATATGTGATCATCTATAGCACTTCTTTCTTCCAGGATTTCCAGTTGCCCACTCTCTTCTGCAGAGAGTGGGAAAGGGGGCACCTCCTTCTCTTCTACTGACAGTACTGTATCAGATGAAGTGCTGTGCCAGGCAAGTGCTGTGATAAGTCCTGAACAGCTTCCCTGAGCAAGATAGAGAGAAAAGCAAGTGAAAGCAGCTAAGGGCTCAGGAATGTGGAAGATTCCCTCTTCTTCTGTTGACTTGGTTCCAAATATATTTTTGAATATCAGATACAGCTCTGTGTCAGATAATCACTATTTCAGTTAATTCAAGAAACTTTCCCTGATTTGTAATTCAAAGAAGTTATGTTTCCAGCTGCACACTCACAAATGGAGGAAAGGACAGGTTGAGTTCAAGGAGCCACACTGTCTCTTTATCAAATGGAATGTATGATAACAAAAAAGCCAGGAAGCTATTGGCTCAGCGGAAGGCCTGTGAGTCCATAGCCAATCTCCTGGCTTTTTTGTTTCTCAATCTTCTGCTGTTCCTGCTGTGCCAGTTTCTAGGAGCAGATGAGGATGTTTCTTCTTACTTGTCACTGCTCCCCTGAGCTTACTTGGGATCAAAGGGGAATGTATGGTAGGGAAGGGGAAAGAAGAAGGGAGACAGAATTGGTCCCCCATTCCAAAAATCTACACTGTACCAGAATCCATGATTTAAAAAAAAAACCAACAACAACATTGAAACCTGTGTCTTCATTAGCTTGATGACTAAACCACTCTCCATAGTAGCAAGATCTTGTCATGCAATATGCTTTTGATTTAAGAGAAATACTTAAAGCATATTTCTTACCTCTTCAAATACAGTTTGTAGTTAGTGTTTAAATATGTGTCCTTGCCTGGATACCAAGTACATGTCATATTATCCAAATGCTCATGTATGACACAGGTTACATTGGCTGGCCGGTCAGGTGGAGCTGAAAACGAAAGAGATCACAAGAATATGTTAACTGTGAACACATGGAGGTGATTGTTGGGTGGCTTATCCGGCAACCAAATGCTCTGTCATGGCCTCTGTTCTTGCCATTCTAAATTAGTATTTTTCAGACAGTTTTTAAACACAGCAATGCCCTTCAGCTTAGGAAAATATGAGGAAGGGAATATCAACAAGTGACCTAGGGTGCAGTTACTCGGAACAAAGTTCCACTGAAACAGAAAGGAATCATTAAAGGATCACGATCTAGGACTGGTTGGATAGTTCAGTGGTCTAGGTATCTGGCTATGGAGCTAGTGGTTGGTTGTTCAAGTCCCCACTGTGCCTCCTGTGAGTAAAGCCAGCCTGTGTGGCCTTGGGCAAGCTGCACAGTCCCAAGATGCCTCCAGAAGAAGGGAATGGTAAACCATTTCTGATTATTTTGTACCTGGAAACCCTTGAAAAAGGGTCACCATAAGTCACATGATGATAATTATTATGGAATTCAGGATGAGCTGCCCTTCGTTTGTAATGACTGCAGGCAGGGGATTCTGCAACCAATGTGTGATCCTTTATTAACTTGACTGAATGGGTCTTTTCTAGCTGGGATTAGGAATTAGATTAAAGCCCTCCTCTATAAATTAGTGACCATCCAAAATGAATTCAAATGATGTGGAACTAGAAGAAAACTCCACATTGTATAATCATAAATTACTTACAGCCCATGCAAAATTGTGTTCCACAAACAATCTTATCTTCTTGAGAACATTCAACATTACACAGCACCGTGGAAAACGGAGTTTTATAATCAAAAAGCTGAAGCTGGATTGTTGTTTTGTTTATGACTTTCAACAATTTGTCCTGAACACGATTGTCATTTAGGACTAAATACAGTTTGGCATTCCGACAGAATTTCTTATCGGAATGGCAGTTTATGGAAATATTCTGGCCCAATGGAATGAGGGAAGCCGGTTCTGTCCAGACATGCCCATAGCACATTATAGAACCTGTAATAAAGGGGGAAAACGAATGAATGAATACTTTATTATGGTCAAAGACCAGTAAAATAAAGTGGGGAAATAAAAACAACAAAAATCATAACTATCGTGCCCATATGTTAGAAATAAAGATGAATAAGCTAAAGTTCAAACCGGACAAAACAATTAGCACATTATTAGAAGTGTGGTTTTCTCAAGTGCAGAAGGACATGTGGTTCTCGTAGCATATGCTTTCAGTCACCTCCATACACTGGATAATGAGCAAGCTTTGTTTTGTGTTCAGTCTCTCGAAATGAGGTCCAGAATCCTGTATAAGCCAAAGGCTTAATTTGCAGGTCCAGTTAGGTTCAAACCAGGCAAGATGCCCTAGAAAATCAACTTCAGGAATTAAAACAGGCAACTAGTTAGCCAGAATGCTAGCTGGGCACCTTGCCTGGTTTGAACCTAATCCTAAATGGCAATTGCTAGTCACTGGGCTACATTTGATTTTGCGATCAAATCAGTATCACTTAAATAATTCTTGCCTAATCCCAAGTTTCAACATAGCCTAGGAAAGCAGTCGGTATTTCTGACCTGATAATGACTAGCAATTTCCACCTAGAAGTAGTTTTAGAATGATAGAATAGGCAACTATAACCCTTGCCTAAATGAGACATATTTCTGTATGATTCAAGTACAATATGGGAGAAAATTACAAGTTAAATGTGAGCATAATAAGTGTTGAGGTGGCATTAGTCATTATGCTAATCACTTCTATGAAGGACTGTAACTGGGGGCTTTAATTTACTCAGGGAGGAATATAGGTATTTTTGGAGTGTTGACCTAAGACTCCTAGATTCAAATCCACCACCACCATCCACTCCTTTATGTTCACTAAAAGAATTGATTTTGCTGTGATGGTGTGAGTTGCAGTTCACTCTCTCTGGCTGTTCTCTTGTGTTTTATTTTCAACAAGAAATTGGAGACTCAAGTAGTAAGCCAGTTATTGAATGGTGTGATCTGAAATACTGATCTGCATCTGTAGCTTTCTAATGAGTATTGGGTCCACCCACAACCGATTCCTACAGCCCTTTCAACCTAACAAGATGTGGCTTGCTCATTATGCTATATCTGCTATTCTGTGGAACTGACCATCATCTGTTACTTTCATCACAACCCAAACTGAAGACCATCATTTAGGTTAAGTGATGAATGGTGGTCTATAAGGCAGTGTTGGAGCTCAGGAATTTACTCCTGGAATGCCAGGAGTAAATGTGTGCTGATGAGCTGGACATTAGCACCATCTCAACGTCACTTTTTCCACTGCTGGACATTTCACTGCAGTTACTCAGTCTGATACCTGCCTTGATTTTTACATGTCTGGGTCCTTCTTCCATTTTGCCACAGATCCCATCCCTATGGATAGTTATTCAAAAGTCTCAAGTGAATCAACCTTTTTTCTTAATATACAGTATTACTTAATTATAAGAAACACCACCGGTTGCTATTAAACTTTGTAATATAGTGTGTCCCAGGTTTCCATCAAACTTAATACTTAACTGGCCCTGTGTTTGAACAATGATGAGAAAGAAGGACATGGTAGATCTTCCAGAAGAGCATGTATAAGGCCACCAGAACTTTAGATGTCATCACCATCATTCACAAGGTGCTGGGCAGCAGCAAAAACACATGGCCTAAAAGCAAAGAACATAATAGTAAAAGTTTCCTTTAATAAAGAGTTAAGGGGGGAAAATGGTATGAGATGACCAATGACCAAATATTTAGCATATCTTTTTGCCCATCGTTCCCTGTCTGGATTGGTATGGATGGTGGTGTGCAAAGCCGGCATCTGTTTTGACCAAAGAGAGGTGCTCCAACAAGTACTGAGTGGATTCCTTTGCCTGCTGCTCGCAGTCCCATCTGGAATGATGATCTGTAGGAGAATACTTTTCTTTATCCAGAGTGTTCCATGTTTTTTTTTGGTTGTTTTTTGTTGTTTTTTTGTTTTTGCACGGAGAACGTCCAAATGGGCCCATAGTATGCTCCCCCCCAACTTGCCCTGTTTCCTTCTGATAATCTAATCAATTAGAAGTGATGAGCTTCATTTTTGAAATAACTTTATCTTATCTGTCTTATCTCTATAGTAGTTCTATACCTCCATATTAGTGACACAGAACTGAGTGTATAAAATTATCAGTACTAGATGCACTACCTTCTGTCACTTGAAAAAACAGTGTAGTATTTCTTTTTTTGATTGAAGATGGATCAGGTAAAATACAATTATCAGTACTAGATGCACTACCTTCTGCCACTTGAAAAAGCAGTGTAGTATTTCTTCTTTTGATTGAAGATGGATCCGGTAAAATACTTTGTTGTTGTTTAGTCATTAAGTTGTGTCCTACTCTTTGTGACCCCATGGACCAGAGCACGCCAGGCCCTCCTGTCTTCCACTGCCTCCTGGAGTTGGGCCAAATTCATGTTGGTAGCTTTGGTGACACTGTCCAACCATCTCGTCCTCTGTCGTCCCCTTCTCCTCTTGCCTTCACACTTTCCCAGCATCAGGGTCTTTTCCAGGGAGTCTTCTCTTCTAATCAAATGACCAAAATATTGGAGCCTCAGCTTCAGGATCTGTCCTTCCAGTGAGCACTCAGGGTTGATTTCCTTCAGAATGGATAGGTTTGATCTCCTTGCAGTCCAGGGGACTCTCAAAAGTCTTCTCCAGCACCACAATTCAAAATA